GCCCGCGGGGCGGGGCCGTCACCGACAGGGAGCCCCGCGGGACCGGGCTGGGCCCGTCCCCGGGCGGCGAGACCGGCCCGCACCCCGCTGCGCTGCGGTTACAGCCTCTGCGCATCCAGTATGTGTGGGCTGTTAGTTAGTTATGGTTTTCTCTAAAGCRTGGCATCAAGAAAATAAGCGCTAAATACTGTTAAGTACCCAGATAAAAGGATAACGGGATACGTAAGTGCCTCTGATGCAAAGCATGACTGAGCACTTGCCTACAGATTACTGTCTTCCTCCAACCGCTTATGTAAAGTCACTGGACGTGTGCTCGGAAGTTCGTCTGTTACCTGCTCTGCTGCCAGACAAACATGCAGCCGGAGCGGGAGCATCTGAGGCAGTTCTTCCCGTTGCTTTAGCTGTGTAACGGGAATACTAAACGCGAAGCGCATCCGCTGTGGTTCCCCACGTTCACTGCAGGGCTGCGGGCGAGATGTCTGCACGCTGCGAAGCGCGGGATCGCAKAGCTGCCGCCACCAGCCCCAGCGCTTTAGGGATACTCGTGGCCGCGGTGGGTTACCCGGACCGACTGCCGTGCAGAGATCCCCCCCGAGGTCCCTCGTGGGCCTGAAGGACCCTGGCCCGTTTGGCACGGTAGTGCCGTGGCAGAGAACAGGCCCGGACAAAGCTCAACCCCAAGCAGGGGGGCTGGATGTTACTGGAAGAGCTGGAGTTGGAAGCGGTTTTGTTAGGGAGCGCAGTCCCTAAGGAACAGCGGGATGGCATTCCTGAGGTGCTTGCTGCTGCCCTGGGGATAGAACACRCCGTGAAACCTCATCCCGGGGACAAGACGCACCGCGACACCTCATCCCGGGGCACTTGTATCCATAGGGCCGGTAGGAAGGCARCTGCTTCGGCATCAGGAGAGATGTCACCTCCTCGGGCAACTCGGCTGCCTTTCCCTTCCCTTTATAGGAAAAATATGCGCGGCCCGGGGGCTGCCCCGCGTCACGGCGGCCGCCGCCCCCGCGCGGGGGGCCGGGGCGGGGCGTGAGCCGCGCGGAGCCGGGCTAGGCCGGGCCGAGCTGAGCGGAGCCGGGCTAGGCCGGGCCGGGCTGCGCCGCCATGACGGGCAGGTGAGGCGGGAGCGGCCGCGGGGCAGAGCGGGGCGGCGGG